GCGTTGTCATATTTATTGTGCTAAATCTGTTGCTCTGGAGAAGATGTTTTGTGCTAGGAAATTAGGGGAATTCAAATCCTACCTTATTTAAGGAATCAAATTGTAGTAAACTGTAACAAATGAATATGCTACTTAAATGCAAAGTACTATATTGGAAATCATGTCAGCTCTATTATACAAATATTAAAACACTTGTAGCAACGTTTAATTAAATATATTACTGGAATCCAGTAGATTTGACAGAACCGAGGAGGTAATAGACATATTTTTACTTTGTTTTATAATAATATGCGTTCCGCCACTGTATAAGTGAATTTAAAAGTACAATCCAACAAATGTGAAGTTTGTATAAAATGGCAAAAGCAAACTATTCCTATTTATTATAATCCCTTCCGACGCATTTATCAACAGCATCATATTCATGCAGTGTTTTGGTTTTATATCCTGAACTAGACATCATAAATATGTGACACGTATTTTTCGACCGTTTGTGGTAACTCTATGAGGCATATTTGGTGTATGAAACAGACTAGGCACAGGATGTCCCTTATCTACAAATCATCACATCTTTGCCTAGTTTAAGACAGTGGGTGAATTAGTAAAAAATTGATAGTGGAGGTTGATTTTTCTCCGAGATAGGATCCCGGTAGCAAAAGTGTTTGAAACGCCAATGTTTACATGAATGGTTTTGAAGGGGTAAATATACTTAAAAAAGTAAGAGAAGTAGAATTGCACTTATTTTACGGTCTCAGCATTTGTTGTATCGTATCTTTTTGGTAAGGCACAACTACCCTGCTCGCTCTTTTTGGGGTTGGATGTAATTTTGTAGTTAAGGCATTTACGAAAGCAGTTACGAGACAATTTTGAAAGACCATGATACACTTTTCAGCAAAACTGAATCATAAAAGTGCTTCCGTAGCTTATAAGACCAAAGTCATTCTACTGATTAAATGCAAGGAAAGAAGTCAATATAATTTTATGAATATTACATTTATTTTAATTGATGAATAGCTGGTATGTTTAATGATTTCATCTTAGTTTTTCATCACCATTAGCCACTTCTCAATAGCCCTCGAAAATCGAAACCTGTTTAAGCGACCTTACAAGAAAACCAATAGGACAGTTTTTTTGGAACGTTTGACATCAGTGTGACATGTTTTCATCAAGAACTTATGGTAATTCATGTTGCATCCAATCGTGTCGCAAACAAATCGGTTGGGTTAAAGACTTGTAATTCGGTAGCAACTCCTGGTGCAAGTGTCGATGCCATACCTGGACTGCAATGGTCATTTTTTAGGAGAGATCGCCGTATTAGTTGTTATACAAGCGTATATGTCAAACTCTTTATCATTCCAGCAATTATACTAAAACGCTGGACATTATTCCCTGGCTTGCTGAGCTTACGAAACTATTTCCTTTTAGTAAAAGTGGAGTTTAATAGATGGAACCAACTGAGATACCACTCAATTTGGAAGGTGCTGTTAATGTAAGCAGAGAGCATGGAGCTCTCATCATTTATTTTCAAACAAATTTACAGTACTAGGATAAGAATGTATTGAAACGAACTCAGAATGCTTTTGATTGCTACAAGTGAGCAACTACAGATGCTTTCTAGCTTAATACCTTCAGAAATACTTTTCAGAAGCGCCATAAGAGGAGCATAAAAAAACTAAGGAAAGAGCAAATAAACTGTAGATTTTCTATACTCAATGTCTTTGCATCAAACACCTTTTCGAAGTGTTATTAGTAATTTTTGACTCTAAACGCATGCCAGACAGATAAAAAAATGATAAGCTTTAAATTCCGTTTTTGTTTTGCAGGCATCCTTTTTGTCCAACTCGAATATATTAATTTTTTTCATGTTTCAGGTTTATAACCAGTGGTACTTGCTGCGAATTCCTTGTCTGACGGTTAATAAAAGAGTCTGTATACCGAAACACATTAGTAACTCAACTCTAAACAAAATGGCGCGGAAAAATTTCAACTAGTTGGACACAAATATACTTGGGAGTACAGAACGAAAAATGTTTTCAGCTTTGCAAAAAGTGGAGTAGAAGAGGGAAGGGAAAACTCCAGAGAAGCAGAATTTCCTTCTTCGTAAAATCCAGTCTCTCCGGTTGTTACTCATGGCTCAGCATGTTTAGCTTTCCTTAAATAATTACATGCTCACCAAAACCACACCGGGATTTTTGCCGCTTAGGAAAATGGTAGGGCAGAGTGCTTTGAACTCAGCGGAATAATGCGTGTAGTCCTCCATAAACACTTGCTCCTCTTCCACAGGTCGTAAAAATTCACAGCGCGTTAAAACGCAAATCAGGTGTAGGCGCATGAGTGTGTGTGGTACATCAATCCTCATTTATGGTGTCGATGTGTGACTGTTTAGAGGGTGTTAGAGCTCTATTTACGGATTTAACGCAGAACCCGAGGGCACCAAAGTAACTGCGTATTGTGCGGCAGGGGGGAGAAGCCGGTGATAAATCCTCTGGAAGGTGGTCGCAAAGGCTCCCCCACTGTGCCCTTAACTTATTTCGGTGATGTGATGCTCGATAGAAGGCCACCTTTGATTGCGACAGTTCACGCAGTCTCTCCCCCTCACGGGAAGCTCTTCTTAGCCCAAGTGAGTCACTTTGGGGACGTACTTGTGATATAAAAATGCTTTTTGTGCAGGTTAATGGATCATCGGAGTGGTAGTTTTAAGCTTACGAATCGGGAGCTGGTGGCAAAATGAATGTGTAGTCTTATATCAAAACGCTAATTAATAATAAAAGATGGTAGTCTTGTCGCCATATAACAGAACTCAATCCTTTCAGCAGTAATTTAACAAATGTTAAA